CTGGTACTTTCAAAAATCCTTGTTGAAAAAAAAATCCTGGCATCTGTCCTTCAGCCTTCAGTCCTGTTGTGGATGAGAACAGATGCTACCCTGGCTAAATAAAAAGCACAACATGAGTCTTTTTCTTCCTGCATTTTAAACCAGAAAACACCATCTACTGCAGGCCAAAACAAGACAGGTGGCAGCCATTTGAATTGGAAATGAGGTGCTGAGATAATAGACTGTGGGATCCACCGTGGCTGCCTCAAAGGAGGGGCTCCGGTCAGAGGGCTCATTGTTTGCTTCTTTAATGAGCAGACTCCAAAATGTACAGCTCCTGAGGCCACTTTGATTCCTGAAATTTTATTAATTGTTCTTTTGGGTGTTCCGCTTCACACAATCTGTTTTTGATGAACTGTGGGTGTTGATCACGCTGGACAAGGCTGCTTCTCAGAGACCCTGGGCTTCCTGTGAGGCAACGTGGACAGACATGGGTCTCTGTGGGATGAGCTCCAGAGTCCAGGCTGTTCTGAAAGTGCCTTTGTCACCTCCTTGCCGCAATCCCTCAGGGGATAGGCGTTATTTTAGAACCAGGAGGAATAGACTCAGTTTTCATAGGCGAAGAAAGCCAGAGAATCTTCAACCATCTCCTCACTGGAAAAGGCAGGATTGTATGGTGGATAAGAGGACCATAAGTCTTTCTGATCTTCTGTCACTGTCCAGTTTTCTCTTCCTCTCTGTTATCATGGAGTGATACCCATAGTGTAACAGTGTAATCTCCATAGAAAATGGAGGTCCCAGGTTTCCTGTCTTGCCTAATGAAGGTTGGAGCTGAGTGGCAGGGTGGGGTAAGGGGGAAGCCAGGGAAAGGACGTGGAGAGGAAGACTTGGAGAAGGCACATGGAGCAGAGAGACATGTGTAAAAGAAGTCACCTTGCTTTTTCTCCTTGGGTTTGTACCAGGGACATGGGGGAAGTAGAAGGAAACAATTGGAAGAGACATGCGTGATGAGAGACGGGTGGGGAGGCTAACAGTGGCAGCCTTTATCTTGACTTGTGTTTTAATTTTGTTCTTTTCTTTCCAGACTTGCCAGGCCCCTTCTGCCCCTTTCCTATGGTTTCCTGCTAGAGGGTGCATTAGACTTGTGGCAGGTTTTTGGGCCTCAGTGTCCCTGCTTTGGGCTAACCCTGTTTGGTTGGGCATTTACCCATGAGAGGATGGGTAACTTTGGGTGTTTCAATGGGAAACTATATCCTTTATTCTCTTCTCTCTCTATGCACACTGTTCTATTAAAGTTCTTTCACACTAAGGGTATGCTTTGTCTTTAAGCAGAAGATGGCAGAACCCATTTAAAGTGTTCAGGTTTAGGGGTCCTCAGGTGTCCCCTTACTCTAACAATAGTAGTCCCTGCTTTATACAAAGTGGGTTGGGGGAATTGGGACTTGGGGAACAAGATCTGTGTTTCAGATATTCCTCTTTCACACTGTTCCTCATCTTTTTGTACAATTCCCCCCCCCCTAAAAAAACCCAACAAACCCAAATTTATCTGCACTCTGGGCTCAGTGGAGTATCTCCAGTGGAGGAAAGTTGAGCTGAAGCATGAATGCCTCCTAATGGTGTGGCTTTGTAGCTAATTTGTAGCCCAGATAATGGCAACTTTTTTTTCCCCACAGCATCTGTTATGCTTGAAACCAAGGTGGAAGTGGGTTGGGGGCAGTTCCATAATCTCAGTCATTTTGAAAGAGTTGGTTTGGGAACTATTTGAGAACAGGCAGTATCTTTCTATTTTTCAGAGCCCCTCAAATTAAGCCACAAGGACAGAGTATTAAACATGTGGTCCCATGGAAAAAGAACAAAAACTGATATGTATCAAGAGTCCCCAAGTTTTCATATTGATCCAGTAACTGAGATTTTAACTGTCTTTCCTACAGAAGGAAGATTCAGAAATGTACATAAGGATTTATTTATAAAAATGTTTATTGCTTTGGTGATTTTCTTTTCCCAAATGGAAAAGTAATTTTCTTAAGAGATGCTTGGGTTAGGGGCACAACTCTGGGGTAGTTATGGTTATGAAAATGATGCAAAGGAGTGGACAAAAAATAACTCTGAAATCTCTATGATGTTATGGGAATCTGGGGGTTAGCAGAGCTGGTAATAGAGCAGAGGGAGGGAGGAGGGGAGATTGAGGAACAGAGCATATGGAAGGGGGTGGTGTTGCAGCTACATAGAAATGCCTGCATCTATGGTTCAGTTGAAGGAGTCAGCATCCTGGTGGCATCTGTATACTTAATTTTATTTGAATGAAGGAAAGAGAAAAGGAAAAAAGGAAAAGAGTAGGATGGGGAAGACAGACTGGTCCCTACCTGGTCCATGAACAGAGTTCTGTGGTCTAAGCAGAGAGGTTATTTTCACCGTGGCTCTCTAGGACCTTGCTACTGATGGTGTGATGCCGGGACAATAGCATTTATTTAGTCTCTTCTCAGTCAAACTTTATATATTTATTTCCCCTACCATCATGCTGTATCTCTGCTCTGACTCTCTCTCTCTCTCCCCTTGGCCTCAGAAACCTTACTTAGTTTATTAATATTCTCTGGACTTAATAAGTATTTTATTTAGTCCAACTATCTGCTATGTAAATGTACAATATTTGTCTTTGTCTTTCTGACTTGCTTTACTAAACATGATTCCCTTGAACTCCTTCCATTTTACTGTGAATGGCAGCATTTCATCCTTTCTCATACACCATGACTAGTACACCATCATGTGGAAAGGCCACATCTTTTTGATCCAATCTTTGTCCATGGGTATGTAGATACCTGGGAACATTTAGATCCACCCAAACCTTATGAATAAGACACCTACTTTTAAACAAAAATCCCAGGTGCTTTGCATGTGCATTGAAGACCAGGAAAGTGAATCTTCCAAGTACATCTCAGAGTTAGAAAGGGTAGCAATCCTCACGGCTGCTGGGCCCCCACCCTGGCTTGGGACATGAGAACCCTAGGGGACCAGGTGGGACCTTGGATTCATAGGGACAGAAAAATGGCCATGAGAGCACAACCTCAAGTTGTAACAGGGTGGTCCCCAGGAAAGGGGGAGGTTCCAGGTTTCCCGCCCCACCCAAGGAAGGGTGTAGCTGAGCAGAGAGAGAAGAAGCTGCAGAGGAGACTGAGGAAGGAAGGAAGCAGCATGGAGAGCCAGAAGGAGACCTGGAGGAGGCACATGGAGCCGAGAGACACGTGAAGAAACTGCACTTGCCTTTTGGTCGTGGACTGGGTGACAGATGTCGGTGAGAGACCCGTGGCGAGGTGACAATGGCGGGTTTTGTCTTGATTTTGATTTTGCTCTTTTCTTTTCAGACTTGTCTGGTTGCTTCTGATCCTTTTCTGTGGGTCCCCACTGGAAGGTGCTTTAGACTTGTGACAGGCTTTGGGGCCTTGTTCTGGGCCGATCCCATTTTGGTGGACTTTTACCCATGAGGGGACGGGTAACTTTGGGTGTTTGATTTAGAAACTAGATTCTTTGCCTTTCCTGTATTGTTTCCTAATTGTATTAAAGTTCCTTCCCATTAAAGTCTCATGTTTTGTGTTGATGCAGCAGATGGCAGAACCTATTTAGAGCAGGAAGGTTTGCGGGGTCTGGGGTGCCCCTCTCCCTGCCCTGTAACAAAGTGACTTTGCAGATGGAGGAAGCCCATTAAAAGACTGAGAGAGAAAAGTATACAAGGATTATTTGAGAACAAGAAGGAGATGTTCTGGGATGTCTCAGAAACAACACTGAGGCTTGGAGAAAGGAGGTGTCTTGTGTTACCCCTAAGCCCTCTTGGGCGTGGTGCTCCCAAGGACCACCAGAATGGCCTGGTGAGTGTGATCCTCACTAGGAGCAAAGTATGTGCACAAGTGAATATGGGACTAAATAATCTTGTTTTTTAAGAACATGCTTAGAAAAAATTTGGAAGGAAATATACTTCAATGTATCTCTATGTGATTTCATTTTCCTTCATGCATTTTTGTTTTATGATTTTCTATAATGATCATAGATAAATGTAAGCAGAAAAAAATGCAGCAAAATGTAAAGTATGCTTCATACTGAATGGCATGTAATGGGCGCTGTCACAGACCCTAGGGGCTGTGAAGGTAATGGGTGTGGGGGATTTTGTGAGCTGGTAAGTGCTACATAGATGTTAGTTCCAAGACTGTACTGGGATAGGGTATGGAGTTCATACAAAGTCTTTAATCCAAACTCCTCTACCTCCACCTGCCTGTGACCTAGCTGGTCAGTAAAGAGTACCTGGCTTTAGGGAAAACTTCAACCTCAGAAAAGGACTTATCTCTCCACAAATGAGTGAAATATGTATTTTCCCTCCCCTTTGGCCAATATAACTGAGATAGAATTCCTGAACTTTTCTTAACACTGTTATAGGACAGGAAGAGGAAGGAAAATGTACAACTCAGGGAGAAAATAGGGAAATAAAGTCTTTAATGCGTCCTACCCGATCCAACGACCTGGAAACCCAAAGTCACTCTCAGAGCTGGCCGCACGCTGCGAGCTGGTGGAGAGCCCAAAATGGGGTCCCCCAAAGCCCACGTGTCTGCCTTTTCTATCCACCTGGCTGCTTAACCCCACCCTCAGTTCCCAGCCACCTTCCCTTTGGTGGTGATGGGATTTGGAGTTCCCAGTGTCTTTGGCTTTGACCTGGGGTGGGGGTGGAGTCCACAAAGCCTATATGGAAATAGCTGTGGGACATCCTTTTCCCCCTAACAACACTAGTCTACAAGGCCAATTCCACATACATGAAAGACCCTTTTTCCTGCACTGAATGTTCTGCTAGACATCCTTATACATAAAGCCACCTTGGTCCTGCAAGCCCAATGTGTAACTTACTTGGGTTGCTGAGTCCAAAAGCATTTTGATTTGTCTCCTCCAGTGTCAGGAAGATCTCTTACTTTGCAAATGTGGAATGTAAGGCCTTTTGTTAAAATAGGACAATAGCCCAGTTCTTTTTTTTTTTTTTCCTTTTTAATGCCTTTGATCCTTATCAAATGCAAATTAGGCCATTTGTTGACTTATTTGTCCTTGCTTGTGCCATTGGCTGTGACCCACAGTTGTCAATGAGGTGGCCAACAAATTTGCACTGGGCCCATTTTACCTGGGGTCCAGCCAGGTAGATGCTTCCCAGCTCTGTCTCTGTTGCTGTTTCATAGAGCTCAAGAGGGTGGAGACTGGGAGAGGCAGTTGGGGAGGAGGAGTCTGCCAGGTGGTGGGAAAAAGATCAGAGACTCTTGTTGGCATGCAGAAAAATCCATTAACTCCCCATCCTTAAGGTGAGGAGGGCAAGAAAGGCTTTGCTTCTTCCTACATTCCTGCCCTCCAGGCGGCACGCTGCCCTGTCACTGCTTGTTTTCCTCTTGCCGGATGTATTTAATGTTAATATTCACCAATTTCCACCTGGATTAAAAAAGAAAGTGAGTTTGTGGTACAGTGTATTTTGCTGAGGGTGAACCTCAAAGGTCAGACTCTAACCTTCTACCACTTGGGGAAAAAAGTCTGATGCACAAGAAAAGATCATACAAAATTAAACACTAGCTATATTTTTAATGACTCTCATTATTTTTCAGACTTTGAGATGGATGTGTTATATGTAAATTTTTGAGAGTCAACTCTAGCAGAATATGCAAATATAACTACCTTATTTATCTCTGCTGCTGGGAAGAAGCAAGCTCTTCATTCCTGGGGGATGGGAGGCCATTACTGTTGTAATGCAGAATCTTCTTTCACTCAGGAAAGATAAACCAGCTCTTTGGTGGTGATGGGCCATTGGCTTCATAAATCATCCAGTGCTTCTTCCCTAGAGTCACTAAACCTTCTAGTGTAATCAAAGGTAGAGAGATACATGCTTTTCTTTTTAAGGCTAGGAGCAGAGGGTCTCAAGGTATGAAAGAGCAGAGTTCTGCAGGAGTCAGGACAAGGAATGGGGGTGCTGTTTTAAAACTTGAACCCATGTACATGCAGAACTCTAGATGGTGCTGGCATTTGGGAGGAAGTGGCTCAGGGTTGCATGTGGGTGCTAGAATCTGAAAGCAATGAGTGCCAAGGCTGGCTGGGCATGAAGGGAGTGCAGCTGCCAGCAGGGCCACCTGCCTTTGCTGAGGCTCGATGCTATGGCAGGAAGCATTTTCCAAGGTAATCTCAGGAGACTGAGGCTTACCTCAGTCTCCAGTCCTTAACTGGAGGCTTCATTCCTGTACCTATTTCATTGGGCTTTTGGATCACCAGGTCACTGGGTCAGGAATCGTTAAAAAAATGACAGATATGTCATGTCTGCTCATGACACTTGTGATTGGAGAATTAAAACTGGACTTGACATGATTTAGAAAAAAAGTAGAGTAACAACAATGGAAAGCCATGATTGTCAAAATCAGGCATAACTATACTCTGCTTTTTGGAATTAGCACTTAAGGTATAAAACTATCAAAAAGAGCAATAGAATAGTTAAGAGAAAAGTCTGCAGGAAGAAGGGTGCTGTGGTGCAGAGAAGCCTTCTAAGTAGAATTGCAACACAAAATAAAAACGTCCAGTTACATTTAACTTTCAGATAAATAATAAATAAAATTTTAGTAAAAAGTATTTCTGAAATATTGTATGGGACAAATTTAAACTTAAAAAAAAATCACTCATTATTTACCTGAAAATCATCCTATATTTTCATTTGGTAGATCTGGCCATTCCCTCTGAGGTACTGATGATTTTCTAGTTCATGACCAGGGCTATTCTATTTTTTTGTCTGTCAGGATTCATGTCTTTCTAATGCACACACACATTTTATTTGCTCTTCTATGTATATGTTGTGTTTCACAATAAGTATTTGGGGAGTTGTCATTCCTCAAATATTGTGGGAAAATTTGTAATGATTGCAAAAATATCATATTTATCTTGTCTCCCTTCCTCACCCACCGCCCACCACAGATGCTATCGGAAATGTACTCATATCCCATTACACATGAGGCAACTAAGTTTCAGATTACTTGCCCAGGGTTCATAGAGCTGGTAAGTGGTAGAATCAAGTTTGAACCTGATTCTGGCAGACCCCAAGTCTGTGCTCCTAACCACTGTAAATTGCCTGTTATGCAACCAAAACCAGCCTGGGGTTCACAGGAAATTTGCAAACATACTTATCCTTGGAGCAAGGTATGGTCAAGACACTATGGGGTAATGGAAATAAAGTTTTATGAAAGAGAATAGAAAGAATCAATATACATCAGTTCTGAGATATCATATCTATTGGGGTCATCTGACAGGAAGGCCAAAGCAGCCATGATAAAAATGCTTTTATGAACAAGCAATTACGAACATGCTTGAAACAATGAAAAAATAGAATGTCTCAGAAAAAAAAGAGGGGATACAAAGAAGAACCATGTGAAAATTATAGAAGCAAAAATAATAAAATAAAAGTGTTTTTGGGGTTCAGCAGCAGAATGGAAGTGGCAGAGAAAGAAATTAATGAACTTGAAGCTAGAATAGAAATTATCCATCCTGGGCAATCTGGAAAAGATAAACTTGAAAACAAAGAACAGAATCTTTTAGGGAACTGGGGAATATAACCAAAAAATTGACACTGTCATCTTCAGGTTTCAGAAAGGAGAGAGTGAGACTAAAAATATACTCAAAGAAATGATGACTAAAAGCTTCCTAAAATTGGAAGAAATTTGAAAACATAAAGATGAAATAGTTTGGGAGCTCTCAAACATAATTATAATAAAAAGATCATACCAAGACATAGTATAATAAAATTTCAGAAAAATGAAGACAAAACAAAAATATCTTGAAAGCAATAAAAGAAAAAAAAAACTACATTACTAACAAAAGAAAAAACAATTTGAGGGACAGTGGATTCCTTATCGGAAAGCATCGAGGTCAGAATAAAGTAGCACAACACTCTGCAAGAGTTACAAGAAAAGGGCCTTCCTAGTGGTGCAGGGGTTAAATCACACCGCTGTCAAGCCATCACCAGCCTCTGTGGCATGAGTTCAATCCCAGGCCAGGTTGCTAACCCACATGGTGCCACAGACCTCTCTTGTCTCGCCCACTGCTCCCCTCAGCAGTGTATTTTGGTTGATTCACCCATTCTGCTCCTGACTCTGTCTCTGGTGAATCCTCTTACCCCCCCACACCTCCGGCCTGTACCCCAGTTCTTGTATATATATAAATAAATAAATCTTTAGGAAAAAATATTTTAAAAAAAGTTAAAAGAACTCTGATATTCTGTGTCCTGTAAACTCTGATATTCTGTGTTCTGTAAAACTATCCTTTAGGATGGGAAATCAAGACATTCTTAGGTGAAGGAAATCTAAGGGAATTTGTCACTAGCAGAAAGGAAAAGATAAAAGAAGGAATTTTGGAACATTTAGAAGGAAAAAAATCACAGGAAAATGTAAAAACCAGTAAATACAATAGACTTTGTTTCTCCTCTTAAGTTTCTAAATTGTATTTTCAAAAGTTGTAACATTGTATATAGAGGGATTTCAATGTATATAGAGGGAATATTTGAGATAATTATATTGTAATTAGTGGTAGTGAGGGGAGGGGACTTATCAGGAGGTAAGATTTCTACACTTCACCCAGACTGGTAAAATGTTGCCATCAATAGCTCTCTGTGGCCCTCTGTATCTTGATTGTGAGGTTAGTAACCAAAGTTACCCAGGTGATAGGATGCAGTAGACCTGTATGTATGCATTTTACCCATGTCAATGTCCTGGTCTTCACAGCGTCTTATACTAATCCAAGAGGTGATATCCTGGGGAATAGGGTGAAGAATACAGGGGACCTCTGTCATATCTTTGCAGTTTCCTTCTAAATCTGAAATCATTTCAAAATAGAGAGAGAGAAGGCAGAGGCCACAATTTTCATGTCTTACCCATTGGAGTTGTTTGACTTTAGGATGTCTAGAAAAATCCCAAGTGGTTTTTAGACATCTGAGTTAAGTTCTGGTGAGATGGAGACTACACTAATTGAATTGAGGCGTCTGTGGGTCAGCTTGCAACAAGATCATTTTATGTCTGGAACACATGTTGGTTTCCTGTGCCCTTTCAAGGGAATCAATATATTGACTTTCATTTGCCTCGTCATGTGTGGTCAGGACATAGTTTATTTCATGACGTTCACTCTCCCTATGCATCGAAAGACATCAAGGGCCTAATGGGGAGGTGCACAAACACAGTTTTCCTCGAGAAGAACAAGTCACAAATAGGAAGCCCCCTTCTTTGGAATTTCCTCCTATTCCTTCCAGTTTGATCTTCTGTGCCCAAGGTCTGGGCTTGACAATATGCATACTATGCCTATGCATGTCCTGTCAGTGCTACCTCCAAACTAGTTCAGACTTGCCCACTTTCTCCATCCATTGTGATCTCCCTATTTTCAGTCTCCTTCATTGCCCACTTAAGTCCATTACCTAAAAACTCTCTTCTTGGTCCCCTCTCTTCTCCCTTATTAATCTGGATGATATTCATACAATGCACATCAGATGATGTCGCATCCCTGCTTGCACCTGTAATAGTCTCCCTGCATTGGGAATTAAGTTTGCACTTGTTCCTGTGGCCTTCAGGATCCTGCATGAATGACCTGGTCTCGGCCTATTTCTTGGACCTCCTCCCAGCCATCCACTGTCTTTGCTACACCGACTGCTTTACTCTCCCTTCACCAGGCAAGCTATTTCCCACCTCTAGACCTCAGCCCTCTCCTTGGAATGAGCCCCTTGTTGCTTTCATGCAGCCAGCTACTTCTGATCTTTGGAGTTGCAATTGAAATGCCCACATGGTGTGCTCTGACTGCTCTCAAAAGCAGCCCCTACCTCATCGACTTCCCATCACATCAGCCTACTGATTTGCTCTATAACATTTGTTATTCTTTAATGACCCCAGTAGTTTTCTTGTTCATTGTGTGTCTTTTCCTAGAAATTAAAGTCTATGAGGACAGGGACTTTGCATTCCTAATCACTGTAGGTGTCCTCAATATTTGTTGAGAAAGTGAATGAATAAACAAGTGAATGAAGAAGTACAGACTATCAGAGCTGGCAGGGAGTTTCTTGCCCCAAGATAAGAAGCCCCCTGGGGACACTCAGAGCATAGGGAAGAGAAAGGATCATGGCAGTAACCTGACCTGTGTATGCAGCACCTTGGAGTTCATGGAGCATTTTGAATTACAGCACCTCCATCCTACAGATAAGCAGTGAGTTTCCAGGCCACACAGATGGCAGAGGCAGGAGCCTGGAAGGCAGATAGGACAGTCCAGCACCTAAGCACACAGGCAGCTGGCAGAGTGCTTTGGAGTCAGTGTCCCCTTGGCTGCAAGCAGCTGTGCAGCTCTGTTTACCCAGCAACAGGGGTCTGGTGGTTTGCATCAGGCTCTGTCACCTGAATAGACAGCAAAGCCAGAGAGAATTCTCCAGGGAGGAGACAGTCTCCAGAAGCAATGGAGACCTGCCAATGTGATAGGGAGGGGAGAGAGACAGAAGCAGGAAGGTAGATGCTAAAAAAAATAAATGGAAGCATTTTTTAAGATGAGCTAGTGGCTTGTCAAGCCTTCAGCCTGGGTTCATCCATCCCAGAGAACGTTGAGAAGAGGTCTGGTGTCTGTTCCCATGAGATCCTCTGTGGCCTCACACTGTGCTGAGAACACAAGGGAGGCAGGCGTGTGCTCAGGAATCTGAGGGCCCTACTGCTGGAGTGTGGTGTCCCATGAGGTCCTCGGCTTCCTCCATCCTTTTGAAAAGATTGAGACAATGATGAAAGAATTTCAAAAGTGACTCTGTTATTGTTCTTCTCTTGTTTCAAAAAAGTCATAGGATTCAAGTGACTAACAATCCTAGTTTCCAAAAAGCATCCGTTTGAACGAGCACATTACCACAGAAATTCCACTTGCATATACCTTTAATCATGTGGCAAATTACCTTATTAACCGCCAGGGAGTCGAGTCTTATTACTTAATTAAACCATCTCTTTCTTTTCTTCTTATGAAAACCACATGGGTTTTAACTTCTGTGTGGTTTTAGATTCTTTCCCCCTTCCTTGGATGTCTGTGTAATAAAAGCTGCATAAAAGAATTTCGGTTATTTTGTGTTGATGACTAAAGGGTTAGCAAGACTAAATTCTGGGGGGCGCGGTGGGGTTTGTCTGGATAGGCTCACATTGGCCAGTGATGTCACAGCCACTTGGGTGGTAAGGACGTTTGAGATGTGTACCCATCGCTTACTGCTTTCTCTCGCCAAAACATCTGGAATACAAAATCCCGTCATTAGACAGCCCACATGTTAGCAAAACAAAAGGACAGGAAAAAAGAGAGAGAGAGAAAGAAACCCCAGTCCTTGCAATGACTGGATAAAGCCTCATTATTGCTGGTAGGAAATTAGACATTTAAAGTTATACTTCAAAGCAACTATTTTTATTACAAGAGACCCAACATTTTGATTTATTGGGCAGCAGAACGGGGTTGTGACAAATATTTCCACCTCAAAGAAAAGACAAATCAGGCCTCTAAAAAGTCATATATTAAATAGCTTAAAAATAAAGTTGTTGCGACAGTTGTTACAATGATGAAAATTGTGTGCGTCTACTCATGGTCCAAATAGACCACTGCTCTAGCAGGCTTGTCCAGAAAAAATGATTTAATATGGTGGGAATTTTCTTCTAATCAAAGGAAAGTGCAGAAATTGTGTAAAATGAAACAATGGAAATTAGTAAGTCTGTGCTTTCTTCAAAGGTCAGGAAGAAGCAGGGCCTACGGGTATTCCTATATTTCAATCTTAGCTGCACCATCAAAGAGGGATGCTAAGAATGTAGGATATGTTCTGAGCAATCTCTCAGGATAATTAAAGAATAAAACATACAGTTTTGAGACAAAGTTGAAATTAGAGTATTCAGCCTTGTTAAAATAAAACAATAATACCCTAAAGGGTTAGTTACTCATCATTTCAGGTAGCAGAAGCAGTGTGTAGTGTTAAGTCAAGGACCACTTCACCCCTGTTTATCTGGGCATGACCCTTTTTCTATAACATGGGCAATTCTGACTCAGTTAAGTCAGAGGAAGACTTCAATGAACTTGTGCGTTGTTGAATCTAGAAAATCAGTTTCTCAGGTAGGCTGTGCATTGTCTTCTTTATAGATCTCTGAATAATGAGAACACTTTTCATCCCATGTATGGAAACAGAATTTACTGGAAAGAGTCAAGGCTGTGATGTGAGGCTCATAACTTGGGTTTTAGTCCCAGTTCTGCCACTAGTGAATACTGTGACTTCTGGTTAAATAACCTAACTACTCTGGGACTTGGTTTCTCATCTAAAAACCAGATGATCTTAAAGACCTCATACAGCATATTTGATTCCAGGAGAAATACAGAATGACCATAGCAGAGCAACAAGGTCCTTCTACTTCCTGGGAGGAAAGCTTGAGTATATGTGTATAAGGGTGTGTGTGTGTGTGTGTGTGTGTGTGTGTGTGTGTGTGTGTGTGTTTACAGTAGAGAGACGGACAAAGGATTCCATGGACCATAAGTATGTTCACAAAGCTGTCGGTGTCATTTGAAATTATAAATTCTTTTAGTTTTAAATGCCATACAAAGAAATTCTAAAGGTGAATGCTTTGTAAATGGAATAACCACTGTCACATGTATCTGCTTTGTAAGCACGTATTATCACCTGTTGGGAACCTGTTGCAATTTTAAACTCCCCATGTGTATGCATGAATTAACTTCTAGGATAATATGGCATTAAGTGGGTCCAAGTCTATGCAAGAAAAGGCATAATGGAATGTCAACCAAAGGAGTCTGAAATGCTGCCAAATCCTGATATACTTTCTGAGGCATCAAAAGATAAGCGAACCTTTTTCAGTATATCTTTTTTAAAAAGATGCTTTACTGAGAACTAACTCTTTGAAAAATTAGGAAGCACTCAATAAATTGATTGGGCAATAGGTAAGAAATGCCATTAACTAGAAAACTGGTTCAATAGAACCTCCCAGGTGTCTCAAACTGTGTGCCAATGGACCATCCTCTTGCTATGGTGAGAAACAAGGGCCGGCAAGTAGGAAAGCACCCTGGAAACTTTGGTGTCTGATGTCTGAACAAACAGCCGATTATTAAGCACTGACTGGGAGCACTGGGCAAATCAAATTGGTTGCCAAGTCAAGCTCGCCAAGGTCTTGAAGAGTCTTGAGAGGCAGGGTCCTGGTGAGGGGGAGGAGCAGAGGAGAGCTGGTGGGGTACTAACGTGCCCTAACTGGCTCCCCAAACCCAGCAACTGACTATGACTGGGATCCCAGCACTGAACTTCAAAACATTTGGAAAATGTTCATAAACATGTTCAGAATCCCATGGTGTAAGTAAAACATTTTTATAAGATTATAAAATAAAAAACTGGCACATGTTTTGTTTGAACACGTGTGCTGGTGATTTCTTTTCCTAAGGTGAGGGACTCTTCAGTAAGTCTTAGTAATTGCTCTTAGGGAATTTGGCCTCTTAATTTTTGAAAACTCAGTAAGACACATGCAAATCTCTACACTTTGTAGATGACAGACCCTAAACCTCAGACATCCATAGAGAGAATTTGAGTGAATGATGGTTCTGCTCAGGCTATCACTGGAGAAACGGAATGAAAAAGATAGTCAGATTCTTGCTTTGATTCTTGTTTCTGTGGAAACATGAAAATTTTGAAGTTTCTTCATCCAAAGACCCTCCTTCCCCACCACTGATTTCTCCAGGTAATTAATGGACCTAACCACTAATAAACTAATTGTTTCCAGAAGAATGTAGTGTAAAATGCCCTTGTAGTTAATTTATATTAATTACCATTATTAACACTATTAAAAGCTGAAAAGGAAGGAAAGAGTGAGAAACACAATTACTATTTTTGTGACCAGATACAACAGAATTTATTCTTAATTCCCCATTCTCTCACTTATAAGGAATTTCCTAAAGCCACAGGACACCCCATCTCTGTTGGAATTTGAGGATGGGCTGGGGAAGACAAAAGGGAATCATTACTTGATCTTTGTGTACTAATTTCAAAATGCCACTTTTAGGGAGGGCATCAACTAGAATAAACAGTCTTGAAAAGGTAAAGCTGGCACTCTTCTCAAGGGAACTGGGAGAGTGGTGTTTTTTTCTTCCAGGAAATTAGAACAAAAGATTTATTTAAACTGTGAGTAGAGGCTCTCTGATAAGAGGTAGCCATGGAGTTGGTCTCCACCTTTCTAGTTTAATGACCAATCTGCCAGGGAGGAGGGTGGGCAGTAAGATCAAAGTTGCTTTAGGGCAAAATTGCTGACATTCTTCAAATAGGCCCAGATTCCTCAAATCACAATAAGCAAGAATCAAGTTCACTCACTTGGGATGAGGACTTGGTTACAGCCCTCAATTCTTTTGTTTCCTTGACTTTCAGCTCATTGTCCTGTCTTACCTCCTCTTAAACCGGAGTAATGAGTGCTGATTTGATCATTGTTCTGTGGATATAAAGATGTCAGGGGTCAAGATCTGTGACCAGCAAGAACCCAATGCTAAAGAAAAAACTAAAAGAAGATTTCATTCATGTGCTTAAATATTTAGACAAGTAAAGACAGTGTTCATGTAAAAGTAATCCAAAAGAAAAAAATCAAAGAAAGTGAGAATCATACCAATTTCATTAAGATTTTGAGGGTTTCTGGAAATTGACAACATATACACATTATCTGAAGACCTAGAACCTTCTCAGGGTCCTTGTTGGCAAGATGTACTACCTAGTAATAACAAATAAGTCCTTTTTCTAATCCATCATGAATCATAATGCCCTTTAATATTCCATGGTAATAATGATAGAAGGATTCCATGTTACGTATTCTAAGTTCTAGGAAAGATGTGAGGGGACAAACAACAAAAACATTCGATGTCAACTCAAAAATATTAAAAGTAAAATTATTTAAAGAAAAAGGTTAGCTTTATAAAACCAATATTAACAAAAACTCTTCTTGCATTAGCAAGTGATTGCTACAAGTCTTCATTTAGATACATATTTTCGGTTTCCTTGGGTAAATACCTAAGAATGGGATTGCTGGGTTGCATATGTGTGTATGAGAACTGCCAAACTGTTTTCCAAAGTGACTCTATTATTTTATATTCCAAATCACAATGTGTGCAAATTCTATTGCTCTATATCTTTAACAACACCTGGTTGGTAGTCTTTAATTTCAGTTGTCCTGGTGGGTACATAGTGGTAGCGTCCCACAGTTTTAATTTGCTTTCCCTAATGACTAATATTGCTGAGCATCTTTGCATGTACTTATTTGCTCTACCTGCATCTCTCTGGGAAATTGTCCAGCTCAGTGTTTGCTTTGTTGTACATTTATTTTATTGGATTGTTAGTCTTCTTATTGTCTTTTGTCAGATACATATTTTGCAAATATTTTCTGCCAGTGTGAAACTTGCATGTCCACTTCCTTAGAGTGTATTGTGTGAAAATTAATATACAGAAACCTCATTTAAATGAAGTCAGGAGCCTAGAGGAGAGTTCTCACGCAATCAGTGCAATGCTACAGAATCCAACCGGAAGAGACAGGTCTTTCAGGAAGTAATATCTTGTTACTGCCCCAGCAGGTAGAGGGAGGAGGTCCCACCTTGCCCAGCAACAGCTCAGCCAATGAAGAATGTCCCTCCCAATGAAATTTTCAGGTTTTTTTTGTTTGTTTGTTTCGTTCTGAGCAAGTGTGCATGTGTTCTGTATCTCCACGGGACTGCACTTCCTAACCAATTTTTATGGTTGTTTCTGAATAAACTCATTTTGCTGGTGAAATAACTGGCTGCTTATTTGTTGATAGTCAGCAAACATTTTATCTATTAGTGCTTTTATGGTTCCTGCTTTTTATGTCTTACTCAAGCAATGTTTCCTTAACCCAGATCACAAAGATTTGCTACTGTTTCCTTCTAGAAGTGGCATTGTTTTCCTTATTTTGGCCCATTTCAATTTAGATTTTGTATATGGTTAAAGGTTTTGTTCTTATTTTTTTTCTTTATATAATGTCCTATTGTTCAGCAACATTAGTTGAGAAATTATGTTTCTTCCATTGAACTGTGTTGTACCTTTGTCAAATTCTAAATCCTGGCGGATTTCCTTTAAAAATATAATCTGATTAAAAAATGATTGTGCACATGCTATGGACCTAGAATAGCCCAAATAGATAGATGTGGGAAAAACTCAATTTCTGAGGTCTTGTTTGATCAGAATTCGAACTTCTTATAAAGCTACAGTAAACCAGATAGTGAGAGATGGGCATTGATACAGGCTTATGGAAAAATGAAACAGAATAGAGCCCAGAAAGAAACCCACATATTAATAATTAGGTGGCTTCTCTTTGTCTTAAAAATACTTAAAACAATTTTAATTTATTTTCTATAGCTACAAATGAAGCACAAGAGCATTAATAATGCTGAGTTTCTTTTCCCTGCTTGCATATGAGTCCCCAGTGCCCTCCCTCCCTCTTTCATGCTCAGCCCTGTTTCTTGGAAACAGTGTGTGAGCCACAGTCCCCCCTTAGGATGTGCCCCGGCTTTACCTTTAGCCATGGTCTTGCCATTTCCCTTCTCTCCTATGGAAACACCCATGTTCATTTGGAGCACTGGCCTATCTCCCACATCACTGTCAGTTTCTAGGTATCAGGTTCCAAAGAGTTCAGTCTCTCAACTCAAGGACTCCTAACCAGCACTGTGGTTGTCCAGAATCTTAACAACCTTCTCAGAAACCCAGCTTCTTCAATTGCTGCTCTAATTCCACTCCCCAGAGAACATAACACCAGGCTAAGAAGAGAGTGGGAGCAGAAAACAAGCTCTCTTCCATGCAACCTGTCTCTCTGGGCTTCCTCAGGGATGGGGTATTAAAAACTCAAATAAATGTTCAAGCACCCTCAGCTTTTACCCTCCACTTTCAGTTGCTAAAACAAAATATCCCATGCTGATCGACTCAAGGCAAATGAAAACTAGAAATAGTAGTTATCATCATTAACATCATTCCTTAGTAATAGTTATGGTTACAGTTGTCCCAAATTACCAGCCATGACAATTAGGTGCAAGTGGAATTCTCTGTCATTTTATGGTCATAAAAACTGAGATGGGAAGTAGATTTGTATTCATATAGCAGGGAAGTGTTACTGGGCTCATATACACTGAGACTCTAAAACATGAGTTCAGTGTTTACCCATTAAATCAAAGAAGTCACTTCATGGAGGCAATTATCAGCCCATTCTGGCATATGAATAAAGCAAATGGTCAATCAAAATGGTCACACCAGTGGCCTTTCATATACTCTGTGTTAGAAGAGATGTGAGGCAAGCTTTCTAGAAAATATTCCTTACTGGTGATTTTGTGGCTTTGAGGTAAGATTCTAGCAAGCTGTCATGGAATACTGGAAGACTTCTCAAAAGGTATTTCTGGGAAGTCACTGGGAAGGTTAATGAAAATATGTGTATTTAGTTTTGTCAAAGGGATCTGGTATGTGCAATAGGGGTTTGCAATCCATCAAATCAAAACATAATCAAAGGCATAACATGAAGAAATATAATTATAACTTAGACTTACTCTCAGAATCCAGACCTCACCCTTGCAGCCTCCCACTTCAAACTCAAATGAAAATGAAAGCAAATCTGCTATATTTCAGAACAAAGCAGCATCAGATTTATGAGTGAGAAAGTCGATGGGGGTGGGGGGAGCTTATGGGGGAGACTAAATTGTAGGACTGAAGGACTCCACTGAGTAAACCACTCCAAGCTTTATAGACTCCAGACCTGGGCCCTGTTAGCATAATGGTCCCTCTAATTTCCAGAAACATAATAATCCATGAGGGGGGGTGAGGGAAAGCGGGGAGAGTTCTGCTTACTAAGACTCTACTCTTTATTGATTACAGTTCAATAGCATTCTCACATTTTTTTTTTTTTTTTAAGATTTATTTATTTATTTATACAAGCACTGGGTACAGTCAGAAGTGCGGGAGGGTGAGAGAATTCACCAGAGCCAGAGCAGGGAGCAGAGCAGGCAGAAGGACCGAAGTACACTGCTGAGGGGAGCAGCGGGCGGCAGGAGAGGTCTGCGCGCCATGTGGGACCCTCCTCCGGTGGCCGGGGAGCAGCTGGGGATCGAACCGGCGCTGCAGAGGCTGCGGGCAGCTTCGCAACCCAACGCTCAACCACTGCGCCACTGGGGAGGCCCCATCTCACATATTTGTGATGAGATGACACTTTTATTTTCTCTCCCTTAATAAACACTGCACTCTTAAAAAAAAATAAACCTCCAATGACTGAATATATGGAGTTTGCATTTAGCTCAGATTATCTTTCTATTGTGGTAAGGATGTTAGGACTATAAGAGGCATGATTTTTCATATTCTCAAGAGCTAGTACAAAAAATATCAAGGTCTCAGAAACAAGGCACAGAGACAAGGGAAGGGAGTTATGGACAATAAGAGAGAACATGTCTCAATGGCACCACACATTAGGGTCACTTTGAGGACAGACCTGCTGAGCTCTACCCAGAGATGACCTAGAACCTGTACAATTGTGCCTTTTGGGCACTGTTTACTTCTGCTACAATTCCAGTAGGAACTGGGTCTTCCACCAGAAGAAGTCAAAATGATTTTGACTCCCAAATCCTGTCCCATGTCATGTAAAGTTAATGGGGCCACCAGAGTATCCATTGAGTATCTGGGCAGAGAACACGTCTTAGGTGGCAAATTGTGTGCCAGGAGAGCCAGGAACCACAAAATCTGGGCTGAAAATGGGAGAGAAGGGTCCTGAACACACTTGCTGCAACTCCACTTCCCACTTTTTAGGGTGTTGGGGATCACAGTCAGCCAGCAGGTGGGAAGACACCAATATTTGCATGTGTTCTGTGGCTGCAGTGGTCAGATAAGAGAGGCAGAGACAGACTCTGTCTATCCCTCCATAAGCAGAGGATACAAAGCCACTGACCCCTACAGGGCCTAGAGTCTCTGGGGTGGCCTCCAACTGAGACTGACTGTGTCCTTGGAGCTTTCCTTCCCATCACTGAATTTTCACTTGACTGGCACAGCAGACTAATTTCCAGAAACATAATAATCCATGGGGGGGGGTGAGGGAAAGTCAAATTTTCACTTGACTGGCACATTGTGACTATCCAGAAATGACCAAAAGGACATTAGGGAAACTGGTTATCATAGAAAAGTTGAAATAAACTTTTCTAAATGAATCTCCACCTTCTTCTCCCTTCCACACAATACACATGCATGCGTGCGCGCACAGACACACACACACACGCACACACACACACTCCGTGCAGTTTATCCTTAGAAGGATGAGGAAGACCTTCGTGAAACCCATTCTACTGGGGGGAATGTGTCAACTGTATTCTTCAGATCCATGTTCTTCTTTGTCAAGTGTTGTTTTGATGAATATTAAATTGCACCAGGAACTTTTTTTTTTTTTTTTTTTTTTTTGCTGGGACCCTCACCGGCGGTGGGAGAATGAACCAGCACTGCAGAGGCTGCGGGCAGCCCCACAGCCCAGCGCTCAATCACTGCGCCACCAGGGGAGGCCCAGCACCAGGAACTTTTAAGGGACTGGGTTGTTTGAATAGGGACTAATAAACCAAGAAAATGAATCAAATGGGGTGCTGAGAGAATCCCTGACCAGTGCAGTCAGTGTGCATTAGGCTGCAATTTTCTTATCCAAAGTATGCAACACTAATTGCCTCCACCCAAAGTAATTTTCTAAGTAGCAAATTAAGAAGCTTAAAAAGAAATAACCCGCA